CCAGAAATCTGCGACAGTATTACTGGTTTCTCACTCCCTCCCATACCAATCCAGACCTACCATACGGTTGGGGGGGGGCAGAAAGGGGTCGGGGAAATCGGTAGCGGGTCTCAAGGGAACTGCTGGGTCAATCTTGGTCCACTCATGGAACACGAGCCTATAGTCCCTCAGTAAGCCTTTCCCCTCTTGTCGCTCCCCTGGGTCGCCTTGTCCCCCATTCCATTCCACTTTCCCTATCCTCCCCCCCAAGCCAGCTCTAGGAAAACTCCTTGATGTGCTGTAAAATGTCTTTAGGCAGATGGAGTTGTTTGAGTTTTGACCTGACTCTTTCCCATTGCTCTGTAATTTCAGTTTGAATCTGCTGTTGAATACTTTCCGTGAAATCAGGGCCCTCCAGTCTCGCTTTTTCTATTTCGTAGGTGCATCTCCTGCGCCAGAGGGCCCAGAGTACCGCTCTGCGGCCAAGTTTGAACAGGTTGCATGTGAAATCGTCTGACTGGCCCGGTGCGAGGACTTCACACAGCAAAGCTTTCCAGTCCCAAGGCCACTGGATCTGAGTCTCCAGCTGGCCCCATATTCTGTCCCACCATCTCCACAGCCACACAGCTCAAGGGCATTGGAGGAGGATGTGTTCTATTGTTTCAGCAATTTTCCTAGAGGGGAACGTGTCAGTGCACCACCTGCACTAGGGGAGGGCCTGACCTCGTTGTTCCAGGTACGTCCTGTCAATAATCCAGTCATTTGTCGGCAGACAGCGGTGCTCTATCTGCCATTGGAGAAATGCGAATTTCGCTGGTTTTTCCTTAATCGTTTTGAACCATTTTATTCCCCTGAGGCTGTTCTTGGCAATGTTCAGATGATTCATCCAATGCGCCTCCACCCGGTCCCGGAGGTTTATTCTTGGTCTGAGGAGCCGGTAGGTTGCTTTGACTGTAAGGTTACTAAGCGATTTACAGACCTTTCTGCCCTTTCCTATAGCCGATGTCCATGTCCATTCCAAGGGGTCCAGGGCAAGCTGGTGAATCGGGGTTTGGGGGCAGTAGGCGATTGTTTGTCCGTCGTCATTTATTACCCTGATTCTGAACAGGTCCTCTTTCGGGCACTGAAGTGACTCTTTTGGGGAGATTCTTTGGAGGGAGTTATTCCATCCTAATCGGAAGAGGCCCACCCTTATCATTCCTTTGGGTTCACAGTGTTCTATGTTGCCCACCTGATCTGGATGGTCCCTGAAGGCCACCCAGTCGGATTCATTCAGGGTCGGGCCTTTCCTTAGGATTCGCCACCAGGCGAGAGGGATCATGTCTATTAAGGTTTCCAAGGCTTCCATCGGCCGATGGCAATATTGCAGATGCTCTTTCAGCTTTGTCGGGTCAATCCAGTTCCTTTGGTCCTTATCCCATATGTCTCCTATCCTGGTAATCCCCCGTCTAACCCAACCCTGCCATGGGGTGTCCATGCAGTGAAGAGTCTGTCCCCTGGGATCTGTTATCCATCTATTGCCGAAAAGTGGTTGTCGTGCCACCTCCTCCCATCTCTCCGGTGGGGTTTTGTCCGGCATGGGTAGGCTTCGCCATGTTGTCAAGAGGTCAGGCCAGAAGGAGTCATTGCGCAGGTCGGCCCTTGCCTCTTGTCTGGCTGGGGCAGGAGGGGGGACATGGTCTGGCTGGCGCGCACGCCTGCGGGGGATGGGCCAGTCCCTGTTTTCCAGGCACATCAGCGGGTCCTTTCCTTCCCCTGTCTGCGGGGCGAGGCGGGCGATCTGTTCCATGGCTAGCCCTTTCCACGGGGTGTCTTGGCAAAAAAGCAGCCGTTTGAGCCACTGAAGTGTTAGTGCCCTCGTTTGCAGGGTAGGGTCTATAATCCCCAAACCCCCGCTAGCCCTTGGGTTGGATCAGGGACTGCCAGGCTACTCTGCTGATGGCGTTTGGTTCCTCATGGTCACCTCTCCACAGGAAGGCTGCAATGTGCCGCTGCAGCGGACGGAGGGAGCCCTTGTCCAGGGCCCAGATGGCTGCCTTGTACCACATAGAGGCGAGGATGACATTGTTAATTATCAGCGAGCGCCCTATCAGCGAGGTGCGTTTGTTCTTCCAAAGTGTCATCTTTTCCCTCGGCGGCCTTGCGATCCAGTCATTGTTGGTGGTTGGCTTTCCTTCTGCAGACATGAGCACCCCTAGTACTCTGATCGGGGTATCCTTAGGTAACCATTTGACTCTAGGTGCTTCTGGGGGTCTCACCCCTTGGTGGTGTATCCACCAGCCCTGGGTTTTGTTTCCCCAGTTGACCCTCATATATGCTCACCTGCAGAAACGGTCCATCATATGTTGGATTTTGACCATCATTTCGTGGGAGACGTCGGCCATGATAGTAAGATCGTCTGCGAACATGGAGCAGACCGGAATTGCCTCCTGTGGAATTGATGATATTTGTATTCTGTTGATGCTCTCGTGACTTCTCAGGTTGGCTGCTAGCGCCTCCATCACTATAACGAATAAGTAAGGGGCCAGGGGGTCGCCCTGCCTCACTGACCGTTGCAGTTCGAAAGGCGCCCAAGTTGCCATTCACCATGACCCTGGTAGTTGCGTTTGTGTGGAGGATCCTCACCCACCGCCTGAAGTCCGAGCCAAAATTGAATTTCTCCAAGCATTTGTCTAGAAACACCCAGTTGACATGGTCATATGCCTTTTCGAAGTCGATGAAGATAATTGCCGCATTGTTTTTTGATTGCCTTGATAACTTAATTATTTCATTGACTAGGAGGACATTATCCTGAATGTTTCTACCTTGGATGAACCCGGTTTGGTCCGTGTGTATGAGGATGGGCATGACTACCGTCATGCGGTTGGTCAAGGCTTTTGCCAGTAGCTTATAGACGACAGTGAGTAAAGTGATGGGGCGGTAGTTCTAATGTGAGTCCTTGCCCCTTTCTTGTATAGGAGCGTCAGGACCCCCTGGCTGACAAACTCCCCAGTCTGGCCCGAGGTCCACACTGCCCGAAAGAAGTCCATGAGGTCTTGTGATATGGAGGGCCACATTGCAACCCAGAACTCTTTGGGCAGGCCATCGATACCAGGGGTCTTTTCGTCGTCCATTTGCTGTAACGCTGTCCAGATTTCTTCCTTGGATAGTGGTTCTTCCAAGGTTTGTTTTTGAGATTCTGTCAAGGTTTTGTTTAATGGGCGCAAAAAGGTCTCTATTTCCTGCAAGCGGTGAGTGTCCTGAAAGCCACCACGGTTGTGGAAAAAGAAAAAGAAACATTTCCCTCTTCGTTGTGACTTGCCAACCAGCGCAGATTCCAACATGGAGAGGGCCACGACTGTGTCCTATATGCCACGGGCTTCTGTGTATGACCAGCTGCATTCACAAATCTCACAAAGCCATGTGGCCAATGTCTCAATTTTTTGTGATGTTTGCTACCGGTGTGAGTATGCCATCATTCTCATTTTGCACATTTGGTTAGCAGTGCAGCGCGTGGCCGTTGGCACACAATTGAGAGATGTGCCAAATGATGATGATTGCATTTCGGGCAAACTTTACCGACAGTTACAACTCGCGAATAAACATTCCTGTAGTGGATAGAGCATGCCCAAAGGTTGCTGATAAGGTGTTCCCTGAGGTGCCACTGGATGGTTCTGTTCACAACAAATGAGACACAGTCACACACCTTAGCTGTAATGTGATCCTTCTAGGGAGGGAAAAACAGCAAGAAAGGAAAAGGAACATTGTCTTATCATCATATCATGTATGATGTGGTCCTGCAGCAGTTGAAGTTGCTATTAAAAAAGGAAAGGTGTCTTATCATCATATCATGTATGATGTGGTCCTGCAGCAGTTGAAGTTGCTATTAAAAAAGGAAAGGCAAAAAAGTGGTCCAGCAACTGCCCTTGAGAAAGATCGCAGTTCTCATCTTATCTCTGCAATACTGTTCCCCTGCTTGTCATATTCTATTCCCAGACCTCTCTCTCTCTCTCTCTCTCTCTCTCTCTCTCTCTCTCTCTCTCTCTCTCTCTCTCTCTCTCTCTCTCTCTCTCTCTCTCTCTCTCT